GGAGTATGACTTGATGCACTTTGAATTTTTGTATTTGAATGCGTGTTATTGGTATCTTTTATTCGCAGAAAAAGTGAGTGTTCCCCCGGATTTTCCTGGGGGTTGAAGTGTGATGCAAAGAATGCTGAGAGTGATTTCTTTTGGCCTCTTGGCATCCGTTTGCTTGGGTAAATTCGATTTTTCGTCTTCAACGAAAGCCGCGATACTCATGATTTTTTTCTTTCTATTTTAAGGATCAAGTGTACAAGAGAGACCGCGTCGGCAAACCGCAGCAGAAGGTGAAGGCAACAATGACTTGAGGTCGTTGACGATCGAAGAGTTGTGTAAAAACCGACAGCCTGATGAGTTCTTCAGACTGACGACAGAGGGCGACTGCAGAGATGTCGTAAGGTTAGACAATGAACCTGAAATTATGTTGCAGCGACATCTGGATTGAGCTTCTCGATATTCTGTTCAAATGCTGTAAATATTAGATTCTGCTGACTTGACATCTGAAAGGATTTTTTAGAATAATATTCGAGCGACATCTGGAGGAATTTTCTCGTATTTTTCCATGATTGGTTTAATGTAGCATTAAATACTGTACTCTTATACTATACAGTCTACCTCAATATTAAGTGTAATTTGTTGGGACTTCGAAAATCTGTTGACATTTTTTGGGGGGTTAATCATGGCTTTATTTAGGTGGGCTGATCAACGTTGTTTATTTCTAGCCAAATTACTGTATTAGTTAAATGCATCATTCACAGATGTTCCACTTGTCAGAAGATGCCTAATCCCGTGTGGAAGCGTGAAGAAAATAACTTGGGTTCAATTTTTTTTCACTTTTTAGACCACGTGTTCTCAAATATAGCACTACAGTAATTCAAAATCAAAAAAGGCCTTGAAAATTTCAACTGACTGATGTCTGACCCAAAAAGTTATGAACGGTTGAATTGTTCGTGGAGGCATGGTTAGGGATTAAGCTGGACATTTGAATTCAGGAGGGTTTTTCAAGGTTCAATAATTTGTATTATATTGGGTGTGGTTTTGGGTTAACAGATGTGACAGAGCTGGATTGACTGGAAAGATCCGTCTGGCTGGTGTCAGATGTCCAAATGGTCTGGCTTTTGATGTGCTGAGACAGACTTGTGACTGGAAAGCCAAGGTGTCTACCTGTGATCAACTGGAAAGTGAGTTAAGCTTCCCTAAAAGTTGACAAATGTTCACTGAAGAAAAAATCTTGGTTTATGAATTTTCGAGTATTTATTCACCTCCCAGACAAAAAAAAAAGCTTTCTGTGTACAGAATCAATTGTGTATTTTCAGCCATTTTGATGGGATTTCATACTCCTGTGTTATTTTTTCATTCCAGAACCTAGGAAAATCATGCCTCTGCTGAGTACCACAGAGCCATTGTGCACTTCAGCAACAGACCTGGCTTGTGGCAATGGGGAATGTATTGCCAAAGAGCTATTCTGCAATGGCAGTCCTGACTGCAAGGATGGTTCTGATGAGAATGCCTGTGGTGAGTATACAGAGGGAGCCTCTTGTTCATGCAGGAAACATGTTCCTGAATGTAGCAAAATGCCTGTGTTTTTAGAAATTACTGTATTCCCTCTGGTGGCATGCACACCTTTTTTTCTCAAAATTGAAAGTAAAAATGGGGCAAGTGTCACAGGTTAAAGTTTCCCAAGAAGTTTTAGAATTTCAGGTATGCATTATATTTTATTCCAATGGGAAATTTTGGACCAAGTTCTACAGAAAAAAATTATTGTAATGGGAAATTGGTTGAGTTCAGGTTCAATTCATGTTTAAATTCAAATTTGGGTTTTCCTATTTTTGAAGCACTTCAGTTTTAGAGTAACCAGAAGTATGGCATGCATCTTGCTTGGGGATACCCAAATGAGGAAACCGTGGTGCATGTCTTACTTGAGGGCATAGGGTACTTCAAGTATGAACACGGTAATTTGTTTCATTTCACCAGCCACTATAATTCAATAGTGTGTTTTGTTCAGTTGAAAAATTTGTTCATATTATTTTTCCTTCCAGAGGTTTAAAAGTGCAATACAGTACAGTTCAGTACTGCTGTGATGTAAAATTAATTGTTTTTGACTTTCTATTGTTCAATTCTTGAGAATGTGCTTTTGGATCACCGAAACTTTTGAATCACAAAAAGAGAGCTTTGACGGTCAGAAAATTGTCCCGTCAGCTATTGATTCATTATTGCTGCGAAAATCTTTGCCGTTGACGATGAAAGACAGGTTGTTAACTTCTAACGTGATTGAGGCGACATCTGTGTTCTGCCGACATAAACGTTGATACGCTGGGCTTTGGATCTTGAGTTAGATGTCGCTTGATGAATAATGGACTTTTTCCCCCAGCTGTCGATCAGGACCCCAACGCAGCACCCAAGTGCGACACCTCTCAGTGCATACTTCCCGACTGTTTCTGCTCTGCGGACGGAACCCAGATCCCGGGTGGCCTGGAACCCTCTCAGGTGCCACAAATGGTGACCATCACCTTCTCCGGCGCCATCAACGTGGACAACATCGACCTCTTCGACGAAGTCTTCAATGGGAACCGCCAGAACCCGAATGGATGCCAGATCAAGGGCACTTTCTTCGTGTCTCACAAGTACACCAACTACTCTGCCGTGCAAGAGCTGCATCGCAAGGGTCACGAAATGGCCGTGTTTTCCGTGACGAATGACGGGGATGAGAATTACTGGACTGGCGGGTCGTACGAGGACTGGCTCGCTGAGATGGCTGGTGCCCGACTCATCATAGAGCGCTTTGCCAACATCACAGATAACTCCATCATTGGTGCGTTTCTCTCGATTCGCGTAGATGCGATTTTTTTTTATGCAGTGGAATTTCGTTGCGACGAATCTCTTCATAACCGAATATTCGTCGCTCACGAAAAATTTTACTTTTTGGGTCTATGCCCCAAAAATTGCAATTTCATTTTAATTTCGATTTAACGAAGATTTGTTAATAACGAAGCGTGCTTTCAGGTCTCCAACGGTTCGTTGTAACGAGGTTATACTGTAGGAATAAGTTGTGTTGGAGTCCGCAATGTTTTTCTCAAATTTCATTATTTTGAGTTCATTTTTTTTAGGGTACTTTCCTGTTATCTCTGTACCTCACTCCTAGACCACACTACCATCCAGAAAATCCTTAGGATGAGTTCATATTCACAACAACCTACCAGAAACTGGGGATTTTATTTTTCCGCCTTCTGCTGAAACTGATTTTGGAGGCAATTAGGTAAAGTTAGGTTAGGTCAGGTTATGTTAGTTACAAATATCTTTTAACTAACATAACCTGACCTAACCTAACTTTACCTAACCGCCTCCCAAAATCAGTTTCAGCAGAAACCCAAAGAAAGCAGAAACTGATTTTGGGAGGCGGTTAGGTGAAGTTAGATTAGGTCAGGTTAAATTGGTCAGAGGGAAGGTACAGAGATAACAGGAAAGTAGGTACTGAGATAATAGGGAAGTACCCATTTGAGTTTCTCATCAGAAATTTTTGAAATTGAATACACTGTAACCTGTTTGAGTCTGACTTCGAGAGAGCAGGAAGAACTCGATTTAAGGAGGTTTTGAGTTGAGGAAACAATTTTTTTATGAGGGAAAGAAGGAATAATTCTAGGAAATTGTAATTTTTGATATTCTGGGTCATGAATGATTTGAAAGGATGATGAGGCAAGGGTTCATTTGCCCAATTAGCCTTTCAAAGCACACCAAGTTACTTTTGTATTGCTTTTCTCTTTCTTGTATCAATAAAATAATAGCCAGAAAATTCGAGTTATGGAGGTAAATGATTTTTATTACTTCCAAGGGAATTGACAAAAATTCGACATGGAGAGGTACTATTGTATCTCTTGGCAAGATGAGATTAAATTGTGCTGTAAAATTGAATATTTTTCTTCCTTCTGCAGCCATTTTCAACAAATTATTTTGCGTTTATTTTTCTTGCAGGTGTACGAGCACCATACCTGAGGATCGGAGGAAACACGCAATTCGAGATGATGGCTGACCAGTTGTTTGTCTACGATGCCACCATCACGGCGCCTTTGAGCCGTGTCCCGATCTGGCCCTACACTTTGTACTTCCGCATGCCGCATAAATGTGCCGGCAATGCCAACAATTGTCCTTCCAGAAGCCACCCCGTGTGGGAAATGGTAAATTGACTGATGATTACTATGAAGTATTTGTTCGATGATTGGTATTTACTCAAGTACCGCGCGTACCTTTTTTTCTTTTTTTTTTAATCGTGTGATATGCAGGTGTACAAATTTATAAAAATTTCAAGTCTTCGGTGCATCTCATACTCTATTCCAACAGAGAATTTTGAATCGATTTCAATAGACAAGTTAGCAATTGGAAATGATGAAAATTTAAAATTCAATTGGACTACAATTATGCTCAAAATTTAAAATCTGATGCATTTGGTGTTCAAATCATTTTAATCTGAAGTCTCTAAACGTGGGGTGGGTTTCTTACTTGGGAAGATATCTTTGTCCGCATTTTTGGCTGAAAAACTTGGATGTGCATCGTGATCTAGTAAAATTCAGTGTAAATAAAGATGATTAAATTCATCATTATTTCAGGAATTAAAGTCTCTAGGCAAAGTCTCAAGATGTGGACATGATCTTTTCTCAAACTATGTTGATTTATAATATTTTTGAATAATTTCCAAATGTCAGATCACATTTTCCCATTGACTTTTATGGAATAATTTTCAATTTCTTCTTGTATTTGGCAAAATAAAATTTGGGAAAAGTCCTCCAAAGAAACAATAAAATGTTTCTCATCTTCAAGAGTAGAAAAAAAAAATTACAGAAGAAAATCACACAGAATGTGCCCTTTTTGGCATGATGATTAGTCCAAACACCAACAAGCACATCTGTCATCATACTTGCAAAAGTTTTAGGCAAAAACCTTGAAAATGAAAGCGCAAAATCAGGGAAAAATAATTACTGTACGGTGAAATGAATTTGTAACAAGATTATTTTTGATTTTATATTTGTGGCAGTAGATCAATTTTTTCAAGAGATAACAGCAACCTCTAAAATCATTATTTGAAAAATTGGCAGAAGTGTCCATATATTAGCCAGATGTTTGGACAGGTTTCTGCAGATTGAAGTATCCATAAAATTGAATTTATTCTTCCAATGTATGTTTTATATTTTATATTGTAGGTCATGAATGAGTTGGACAGGAGAGATGACCCAACTTTTGATGAGAAACTGCCTGGCTGTCACTTTGTGGACTCTTGCACAAACATTCAGAGTGCTGATCAGTTTGGTCGCCTCCTGCGCCACAACCTCAACAGACATCTCAAGTAAGTCCAGATCATGAAACTTTGTTTTTTTGTGTGTCAAGATTTGAGTGTACAGTACTTCAGGAAGCGTAGTACAATATTTGAGACAAAGAGAGAGAGAGCAATTCATTGGATGGATTTGAATTCTGAAAAATGTTTGCTAAATCACTGAACTGAAACATTTGGGACATCTTTCAAGTCATTTTTGTCGTTTTGTGGAAGTTATCAAATGGTTATTCAGTGCTAAAATATATTTGATACCCTCCAAATTAAATGGGGACAATATATTCTTAGACTTTGAAGCCCTGATTTCAAGATGCTGTATTAAAGCCTGTGTATAAATTTTCTTATACTGTAGATAGTTTGGTAAGTAGAAATAAGCTCAATTTAGAAAATTGCCCGGAAAAGTTAAGAAACAGCAACAGTTGGATAATTGAAAAATTATTAGTGGAAAGTTTAAGAAATGATGGTCTGAGGAAAATAATAAAAGCCTCCCTAATTTAAACCCAACCCAACAACAGAATTGAAATTCGTTTACATATGAAAACATCACAGGAAAATTCATGAAAGGTTTTTTTTTTACAATCTTCATGTTTATAATATTTAATCCTGCACAGAACTGCAGTAAACCCTTATATTACTGTCTCATTTTTGCCTCTATTTTATTCCCTTTGTGTTTGCTTGGGAAATATTCATCAGCAGTAAAAATCTAATTTCAACTAAGCCATTTGGACCTGGAAAAAAAGCTTTCCATGAAGAAATTCAAATAATTTTACTATGAGTTCAAGGCCTAAAAATAAATTCATTTTTTCTTCAGATTTCAACAATATTGTTCATCTGATTCTATGTTGGTTACATTTAGTTGGCTGTTTCACAAAATGCTCAAGGGTTTTTATTTATTTACATTCTAGTCATTTTCTGGATTTGCTTGCGTTCCAAAAAAATTTGAATATGTCATTTTGTTTTGTTTTTTAGCACAAACCGCGCACCCTTGGGACTGCATTTCCATGCATCTTGGCTGAAGCAGAGCAAGGAGTTCAAGAGAGAACTTGGAAAGTTCATTGATGAGATGCTGGACAGGAATGATGTTTACTTTGTCACCATGCTTCAAG